CATGTTTTGCATGGTCATAAATAGTTCACTTTTTCTAGAAACGACGGAAAAGCAACCTGAAAGTTCGGTTAAAATTCTCAGTTTAGTAAACAAACTAATACGCTTTTGTCGTTAAAATGGATTTATTTGTATTGCCAGCGGGGCTGATGACCGAGAGTGCTTTGATCATTTATTATTAGTAATAATGGTATTTTGCCAACTTAGTGTAGTGGCATTTATAAGGCTTGAAATTGACAGTTTATTTTACCAGTGAGAAAAACAATTTGTAATTCGTTCATTCTTTTCGATGGTAAATTGGTACTTATACGCTTGTAATGACGCTTATATCACGCTAAAAAATTAATAGTTCAGTTTTACGTTGTATTTCTATAAGTTCATTCATTTCGGTGAAAAATAGGAGTAGTGGAGGGCAAGAATTGTCTGTAGTTGGGATATGTGCTAGTTGTCCTTGAAATTTTTTTATTTTGACATGTCGGGGAAAGTTTATCAGCCTTCATCACTTTTGGTACACTTTTTTCCATCAAATAAATATCTACTAAAGTACTTGTTCTCATTGCGAAACAACAGTGCTAATTTTATGTTACATATACTTCTAACAATAATTCATGCGTGTGCTACCTTTAGAACAGCTATCGCGGAAAACCCATGAAAAGCCGGCCAAGAAGCCGCCACAAAGAAAAAGAGAAGGGTGCACCTTATCTTGAAAGGTAGATACACAGTGAATGTGCTGCCAGGCTGAATCTGAGGCACGAAGACTGGTGGTGCAGTGGTAACACATTGAATTCGGGCGTGGAGGGGAGTGGTTCGATTCCCTTCTGGTCCAGAGCAGTTTTTGAGAAAGAGCTCCGCTCACAACAACAACCACTAAAATGGCAGTCGTACGTGTTGTAGGCGGTTGGAACCAATTAGGGACATTTGCTGTAAAAAATTGAAATGCAAGCGCAGGGACACTGCTGGATCGACTGCAAAAATTTGGGTCGGTTGAAAAAAAATTCCAACTAGAGAGGCCGTTTAAGCCGGCGACGGAACACTGTTTTGGTCGGAGGGGGAAGGGAGAGTGGTAGGGGGATTTATTATGCCGCCTATACAAATGGCCAACGCACAGACTGCCCGTGCGAAGATGAGTTTTTTGCATTGTTCCCTGCAGATTTTTGTCGCTAAAGGCACTGGTTTTTCCGGCAGATGCTTCTAGCTAAAAGAATTTCAGACTGGCCACCGGGACTGTCAGGAAACATCCCTTCAAAATTCCAGTCTTCTAGCTTCTCAGGTTCCTGAATTAGTAACTTGCCTGAAAAAACCTTCACGGACTCGTGCGTGGTACCACGCGGGTAAGAGCGCCCATTTTGGCGATTGGGGCCTGTACGTGCATGTAGATTAATTTCCCAAATTTTTAGCCCTGCATCTTTTATAGATGAAAAATCGGTACAGACGCACACACAGACACACAGGCGCATAGACACACGGACATATAGACAACCCCTCGTCAATATTCGTTTTCTGCATTGCATAGCTGCAAAAAACTCATAAAAAGGATCTTTTTTTCGTTCATAAAGTTTCTTTTTTCCAGATTATCACTGTTCCCAGGTACATTTCGAGATAAATGGCATAGCAAATGCACAAATGGTGCAGCTAAGAGTGAAGATCCGGAAAATGTTGGCTGAGATTCCTGCAATCGCGGCACTGTCGAGGACGACAAAACGAATGTTGGGTACTTTCTCAAGGCCTCCACGGGTTGCTGTTGTTGGTGCTGGTCCGGCTGGTCAGTTTTTTTGTGTCTTACTAGTTTCTGTTATCTCTAAAAAAAGTTTTAAAAAAAATTATTGTTCGATCAAAAAACTCCTGTTATCTCTAGAAAATGTTTCAAAAAAATAATTTGTTGGGTCAAAAAACAAAAAATTTTGAAGCGCGAAAACAGGCATCTCCTACAATTAAAAAATTTTGAAAAATCAGGGTTCTTTAAAATATTTTTTTTGGAAATTAATAGATTTTCTTTTTGAAAAATCTTTGGGTAAATAATCATATACGTCGAGAGATAGGCGTTTTAGTTTGATTCCAGGTCTGTATGCTTGTGCCGGTGTGCTTCGTCGATTACCGGAATGTTGCATGGATATTTACGAAAGTAGCATGGTACCATATGGATTAGTACGATATGGAATTGCACCGGATCATCCAGAAATGAAAAATTGCATCAATCATTTCCAAAAAATGTTCAATGAAAACCAAGATAGGTAAGTTTGCAGGTTTTTTTCAATAACTTTTTTAAGAAACTAACATCATGATCACCGGTAAACTGATCACAGTGCTATGCAGCAGTTATAAAAGCAATTCTAAAAGTTGCCAGTTGCATAGCTGGAGGAGCAAACTATGAATTAGAAGTTGATCAGAGTGATCAGCTAATAGAAAGGTATACTGAAATAAGAAGAATCGAAGAAGAAGATGTGAAATAAGAATTAAGAAATTGGTAAAATTAGTGGAATTATTTTAATAAAATTATTATAATCATAAGAAATATTTCGGTCCATTAAGTCGTATACATTTCTTACCATTACCACAATTCTTCTTAGTAACCATTGAGACTACAGACTAGTGAGGATAGCTGTATTATGTTGTTGTTTATTTCTAGTTCATTTCTCACTAATAGTTTATAAAACCCTTACGCACAGCTAATGATGAACATAGACTTGAAAAATAAAATGTAAAATAAGAGAACCTATTACAAAAGAAGCACAATTTATGCAAAAAAAACCACACATTTTAGCTGTTTCTGCATAAGTTGGCTTAAGTAGGACACTGTCAGATGTTCAGCGATTCGATTCCAGTAGCATGATCAGTGCGATGGATTCTTAATGGAATCAGAAAGTAAGTTATAAAGCGTGAATTTTTGAATTTTCTTCACTCCGAATTCAATTTTTGTTAAGGTTGAAACTGTACTGCAATGTTGCCGTTGGAAGCGATATCAGATTTGATGAGCTTTGCGTCGATTATGATGCCGTAATATTGGCGTACGGTGCTCGACGTCAACGACGCCTCAAAATTCCTGGATGTGAAGCAAAAAATGTGTTCTCGGGTGGCGATTTCGTTTTTTGGTATAATGGAATGCCGGGTATCAAAAAGACGCCGCTTTTGGATCACGCACAAGCGGTGATAAATTAACAGAGGATTTGAAGCATTTCATGTAGGACTTCAAACAGTTTGAAAAACATACAC